CCTCCCACCACAGCCCCTTTCTCTGTGGTAGGAATGGAGAGTTAGTAAAACATGGGCAGTCCCGAGAGGATCAGACAGCAGCCACATGAAAGCTACTGTACGTTAGAAGAGCGTTTCTGAATACACAGGCCTAAACAAACAGAGATCCACGGAATGCAAACTTTGGGTCTCGCTAGCAATAGACTATAGAAGTGATACCAGACTGACTAATAATCAAATTGCATGAATATGTTTTTGTTGACACTAATCATACACAGAATTGTGTAAGTTATGTTTTTGTATATATTTGTATATTTGGTATATATTTCAATTAATGTAATTTTTAAATAGATCACAACATTATCCTTGTAAATATTTAAGGTCTGATTACTTTGACCGAAGTTTGAATAATTAGGTAGAATAGTCCACATATAAAATATATTTCTTTCAATATATCTTTTATTTGATTTGATTTTATGTTGACACCTGCACCAAGACAAATTCCTTCATGTGGTACTTGGCGAGTAAAGACTCTAATCCTAAAATTCAGCGTACAGGGATTTCAGTATTTCAATACCGGCACCTGGAATATGACGAGGCTGGTGTCCGAAACCCTTAAATTTCAACTTGTGTATGCTGTTTAAACTTTTTCACAGCTGCTGAAAAAAATACTAGAGGAAACACTGTGGTTACAGAGGGACTGTTGACTGTTGTTGACTGTTTGTTAGCCCACTTTACCTTGTTGTTCAATGGTCAGGACCATCACAGAGCAGGTTTTATTTGGGTGGTGGATAATTCTCAACACTGCGGTGACACTGACGTGGTGGTGGTGTGTTAGTGTGTGTTGTGCTGGTACAAGTGAACCAGACACAGAAGTGCTTCTGGAGTTTTTAAACACCTCACTGTCACTGCTGGACTGAAAATAGTCCAGCAACCAAAAAAATGATGAGCTATTGTCCCTGACAATACATCTATTAGGTGGAACAACACGGTAGGTGTGTGTAATAGAGTGGACATAGTGCTTAAAAACTTTTGATACAATGCTACATCTGATCCACTCATATCAGTGCAACACACCACCACACAGTGTCACTGCAGTGCTGAGAATGATCCACCATCCAAATGATACCCGCTCTGTGGTGGTCCTGACCATTGAAGAACAGGGTAAATGGTGGCTAAAAAAGCATGCGGACCACAGTCAGCAATTGTATAACTACAAAGTGCACCTACATGGTAAGTGGAGCTGATAAAATGGACAATGAGTGTAAATACAAGGAGCTGGTTTAAAATGTTTTGGCTGATTGGTGCATATTTATAAACACATTTAAAAAGCTGTTTATCTGTTCAGTAAGCATTTATTTGCTCAGAAAACACTAATGCTAGAATAAATATCAATTCAAGCAATGGTGATTTTAAGTGTGGCAATTTGGTTGTTTAACCAGCCCAATATTATTTGTGCTTATGATTCAAAACCTGGTTTGGCTAATCAGTGCTTCGGTATGTTAAAGTGTGCTGGTGATGGAATTTAACAAATTCATGTGATGGCTGGGGCTGTCGAGGCATCCTATGAGAGTGCCACCTTTAAAGCAACTGAGCTCTTAATTACAACCCATTCTACTGCCAGTGTTTGTCTGTGGGGATTGTATGCCTATGTGCTTGATTGTACACGCCCGTTAGCAATGGCGTTAGTGTGGCTGGAACACCTGAACTAAATAATTAAGAGGGGCTAAATAATTAAGAGGGCCTAATACCAATATGATTCCAATATCATTGTGCATTCCCTGTGGTTACACGAATATTATTTCATTATCTCTTAGGGATACTCAAACGTCAGCATTAGTCCAAATGCACTTGCCTGATCATGTACTAATTGCTTTTGGCACTGTTTCACTAAAATGATGGTGCTCTAATAAAATTATATCAGTCAATATTCTTTGTGATAGGAATTTATAAGCTCCTTGAAATCAGTGATGGTGAAAAAATATATAGGTCAAACTTTAAAGAATATTTGATCTCTGCTGACTGGCAACACGTTTTGCAAAATTTCCATATGACCAAGAAACATGCTTAAATGTTGAGATGTCTGCTTTATATTACATCCATTAATATAAAGCCTAGTGATTGGTAATCACTCCAAACAGCGTGTGCACCCAGTGTAACTCTCTGGGCCACTTCAAGCTGTCTCGGGTGTCATGTGATGTTTTGGATGCCTCCTCTAATAATGGAGAAATGCAACAGCTGCAGCGGAAAACTGCAGTCGTCAATAACTGACAAACACAGCAGCATTCTCAGATACCTCTACAGACATAAAAAATATGTGATGAAAATTAGTTTTAAAAGGTTTCATGCAGGTATGTTGCAATAAACTTTTCTGAGCATATCATGGATACTGTCAGCACTTAAATAACACTCACCAACTGCATGTTCCATTAAAAAGAGAGCTTAATTAGTCCTGTTTACTTGGATTTAGGGCAGTGTGTGTGAAATGTTGAATACAAAGCATTTGATTCATAGTTTTTGTATTTTTAAAATGTGGCACTAGTTTGTCTTTTCAGTTATCAGATAAATCAGAAAATGAAGTGTGGTCCAAAAGTCACACTGATTTTTTTTTTATTATTTATTTAAACTTAGAAATAAACAATAGAACACCTTAGAACTTTAAAAAATTCAAAACTAAGAAAAGTTATGACATGTAAAATGGAGAAGAATTATTCATGATTCTGCACTATTTCTAGGCCACAGCTCAAATGTAAGCAAATCTGTGACACTGACCATGTTGAGGCCTTTGTACAAAAAGTTTTTAGTCTTATCTCTTCCACTGAAGCATGGATTCAGGCCACTCTCAAGAGGATTTGATCTACTCATAAGGGGCTTTTGCACAAACTTGTGGAGTCCACGCCAGCTCGAGTGCACGCTGTCATTACAGCAAGGGACGAACATATCAAATAATAAGAAATTCTGGAAATCATGTTAAAATTTCAAAGATTCTATTATCTGTTATGCAGACAATACAATTTGTATTAAAACATATTTCTATTAAATTAGAAAGGAATGCAAAATAGAAGCATTTTCTACAGGTCTTGGACTTTTGGACCCCACTGTGTCTCTATAGTGTGGTATATTGTGTATCGTGAAATCATCTTGGAGTGTCATGATATTACATTTTTGCCATATCACTCACCTCTATGCGAATGTTTATACTGTGTACACTTCTGTGGCTGGCTTTTTTTTTTATTTCATAAAGGTGTTGCCTATTTCCCAATTTCCAAATCAGCCTCACCTATGAATGAGCCGCTGATGGACAGTGCTGACACAGACTTAAGAGAATTATAGGATTGTGGTGCTGGTTAAGTACTCAGTATTTCCAACAAGCAGATCACATGGATGAGGCCCACTGGATGAAGAGGTTTCGCCTCCGAGACAGTTTCTTATATATATACCAGAAAAAAAGCTCTAAACAATAAATAATTTATAATATGTAGTGCAGCAGGAATCAGCATACACTCTTACGAAGGATGGTTGTTTAAGGGGTTCTTTAGTAAAGACAGTGGCTCTATATAGAACCATGAAGACTCAAAGAACCATTTACATGTTTAAATGGTTCTTTGCATGGTGAAATCGTTCTTCAGATGTATGGAGAATGTTATATATGGTTCTACTGTTACAATGTCAAGCTTGTAACAACAGCAGAACCCTTTTTGGTGCTATATAGAACAATTTCCAAAAAGATTCTACATAGAACCAAATACAACATATTTTCCATCAATCTGAAGAATCGTTTCAGCATGCAAAGAACCATTTAAGCATGCAAATGGTTCCCTGAGTGTCCATGGTTCTGTATGGAATGCTAAAGAACCCTTAAAGAACCATCCTGTGGCTGTATAACAGATTTCAAATGCTATTTCTCACTCATTCACTGATCCTACTTTCTTTATAGATTGTACCCAAGATGAAGAATCTGACGTGGCATAAAATGAGGAATTTCCAGTTTCAATACTTAAGAAAACATAACAATAAACTGGACAGCAGCTCATAGAAGCTGCTATTTTACATCCACACCACAGCACTTTTGTAAGTCTCGGGTTTCACAAAGAGAGTCTCCCAATGATTTTCTGCCCTCCCCCTTAAAAACATGGAGAAAAATCATGGAGACAGTTCGCCTTCAACTTTAAAAACTACATGAGATACCCTACAAGAGCTGTCCCAGAGGCACTTCGAAATACAATTACACATATGCAATCACTGTTATAACCGTTATTTGGTCATTTCAGAGCTCCGTCCACCTATTCTCTAACACCAGCTCTCATTTGCGCATTTGAGAAACATAAAAGAAGCAACGTTTTCTGAAATGCCTGGACCATCGAGCAGTTTTTGTCCTTCCAGCGACTTTCTGGACTTCATACATTAGGACAGGGTCTCTCAAGCTGGTGTTTTAGTGCGAATTAACTCGCTGTTTGCCAGCAAACCTCGTTAGCGAGTAGAAAAACGGAGCGAAGGGATTCCACACGGCTCGCCGTTTACCGTGCAGATGTGAAATTGCGATCCCTTCCCCCTCCCCGCTTACATTTCAGCACTCGTTCGGTTACACGAGGCAGCCCAAGAACAGCGAGCAAGCAGCCACAAAGGCGCTGGTTTCATTTCATGCCTCATATCAATCTTCACACAAGTTACTTCACCTACAAAAAGAGCAGCCTTCGCTGAGCATCCAATAGCTAGCTCGCTAATATGTAGGATGCATGCATAATTTAACCCACACCTGTCACCCACTCACTAACGCTCCTCACTAGCGATGGCCAGTCAGTATTGTCTTACATGAGGCGGTGCAGCCTGCAGAATACAGAAACACAGGCATGCCGTATTGATTTAATTTACTCTAATGTTCGAAAGACGAAGTTACATCAGTTGACAGCAAAAAAGAAGAAAAACACAGAAGCTGTCAAATCTGTTATAAAGCACGGAAAGCTGTCAAATATATTCTGCAGGTTTTTACCAGTCAAGCAGTTCAAATTAAAACATCCTACCTCTAATTCAGAAGCTGTTTATTTTTCCATCGCTCTCCGCGCTGTATGGATATTCCCGTATTCCTCTCAGTTCAGTTCTTCAGTCCCCTACTCCACGTTACAGAGTTACCATTGCTGGAATACAGCTTGTGGATCCCGTTAGAGATGCGTTTCCCAGGACTGTGGCACAGGATTCGGCAAAAAAGGGATCCACAGAGATTAACTAGTAGCATATACGCCAAAAACGGCTAATTTCGCACCCGCGACGGCAGTCAGGCTAATGTAAAGAAATGTCTTTCTCCATGTGAAATGGGCGTGTAATGAGTTAATATACGGCTGCAGAGCTCTTGGTTGTGATCCATGTGAATCTACCTCTGTCCGCCAGCTTTGGTACAAACCGCTTTCTATTGTTGGACCTGCCCCACGCCGCACAGGACTCCGCACTACACCAGCACAAAGCGAGCTCCTCATCTGATTGGTCACCCAAACACAAACCACGCCCATTTTCGTGCTGCTACCCAATCAGGAGTGACGAATGAATTACATTAACTCGTTCTCAACTTCTAATGCAAAAACGTAGCTACAGTTATTTAATGGCTTGCTTGTCCACCTGGCTATATGGTTTGGTTAGCTGAATGTGAATACATTATCAGCGGACATTTATGTATAAATAATATTCACTTGTAAACCCAAGCCCTCCGAGTCCAACCCATAAGTCCTAGAAGATCTGTAAACGTAGGAGTACGTTTCTTAAATATATATATTTTTAAGAACGTTAATGTAAATATAAATATTGTATTAAATAACAAATGATTTAAATAAGTGTTTAACGTATTCTAGTGTTCAACCTAACATGTTATTTACTGATTTTTATCCACATTACACTCTTTAGCCATTTGAGTTAGCTAGGACCCTATGACGAAAACCAACAACACTGAAGATGGCGGCTGTAGTTGGTTCCCTCGTTGCGTATGGCAGTGATTCCGACTCAGAAAATGAAACTGAGTCCAACACGAATCCAGAAAAAGTGGACCCCGACGCAATCGCACACCTTCAGCCTTTAAAATCTGGAAGAGCGGCGTCTTTGGCTGTTCTTAATTCAGCGCCGGAGGTCGCCGTGAAGGTAACTCGGCTAGCTTGCTAACGTTAGCTAGCTAAGTCCGCTAACTGAGTGCATTGGCGGTAACGTTAGTGTTTTCCATGTAACGTGAAGTTAACTAGCTAGGTTAATCTCATACAGATTTAAAGCCTTTCTTTACGACGCTACAAGCATTCAGAGATATGGCTAAAGAGGCTTCAGTATGATTAGAGCCTTAGCTAGTTATCCAACTTGTCAGGTAGCTGACTAGCCTGCTTCTGTCACTAAGGTTACGTTATTTTTTGAGCGCTGTAGCTGTTAACTGTTCGAGCCTAACTGAAACAACGTAATGACACTTACTATCGACATTTTCGATGCTGACTAACAGTTCTTCAGTAGTCACAAATGTGGGTTGCAGATATGTTGTCAACACTGCAGGTCATTTCCACGAGTATCTCCATGCCCCAGTATGATAACATATTGACTTTAAAGTCACTATGTTTTAAAAACAGTACTGATTGAAAAAGGCACAGAAAAGAAACGCTTGCGACAGATTGCACTCAGTCGGCGATACCGTTTAATTATCTGACGTTTGGGGAATTAACTAACGCTAAATGTTTCATCGTTAGTACAGTGTGGGTATATAAACTGCTGTGTGTCTCCTTTAAATTCCCAGTTTTCACAATTTTAGTGATGTGGGCTACATTGCTGTAACACATTTAATTAAATGCATTAAGCCTGTCATTCAGTGGTAGTAATAATACCAGTACATACAGTTCCTTCCGCAAATATTAGCACCACTGGTAAATATGAGCAGAACCAGCAATAAAAAAACATTTTTTATTGCTTATCCTTTGATCTTTCATTCAATATATTAACACAATTCAAGCTTTTATTTGAAGTACAATGATTGTAAAAACTCTGAATCTTATCAGGAAATAAATATTTTCTAAAATGTGTGTGGGCCACAATTGCTGGCTCCTCTTCATGTAAAACTTTGTGTAGCCTCCCTTCTCCTTAATGAGACCAGATAACACATGGCAAAGGATCTGAGACCATTCCTTCATACAGAACCTCTCCAGGTCCTTCAGATTCTGAGGTCCACAGTCTGGACGCTCCTCTTCAGGTCATTCCACAAGTTGTCTATGGGGTTTAGGTCAGGGGACTGGGGTGGCCATGGCACAACCTTGATTCTGTAGTCAGTGAACAATTTTTGTGATGATTTTGAGGCATACTTTGGATCAGTATCCTGCTGGAAGATCCAAGCTATGGCCTAGTTTAAGCTTTTGATTTTATCTCTGCTGGTATTTGAGGGAGTATGTGATACCATGTATCTTAATAAATTGTCCTGGGCCTTTTGAAAAAGCACAGCCCCAGAGTTTCACAGATCCACCACCGTACTTCACAGTGAGGAGGAGTTACTTTTCTGCATGGCAATCTTTGTGTCCAGGCCAAACTCAACTCTGGTGTTTGTTGCCAAAAAACTCTATTTTGGTCTCGTCTGGCCATAGAACATGGTCCCACTGAAAGTTTGTTTGTCCTTAACAGCAGAGGCTTTCTACTGGCAACCCAAAGACAACTTGTGGTTATATAGGTGGTGTTTGATTGTGACTTGGGAGACATTCTGACCCAAAGATATGACCAATGTCTGCAATTCCCTGTCTGTGATCCCTGGAGTTTCTTTGTCCGCTCGAACCATCCTCCTCACTGTGTTTGTGGTCAGTATAGACATACGTCCACTTCCCGGCAGATTCTTAACATCTCCAGTTGTTTTAAACTTCTTAATTATTGGGCATTTTAAACTGTATATCGTTTTTCTTATAGCCATTTCCTGATTTGTGCAGTTCAACAACCTTTTATCATACATCATTGACGTATTCCCTTGTTTTTCCTCATAACGATGGATAACTGAGTTTCATCTCATATATATTCATTAATGAAACAGGAAGTTATGTCTGGCCATTTAAGTGTTCTTAATCGCTCAGGTGAACTAAAAAACATAAAAATGGGAATATAAGTCGGTTAGATTTCAGTTTTAAGAATATTTTTAACAGCTCATTTTACTCACGATTAGCAGGGGTGCCAATATTTGCGAGTAGTTAACTTGTAAAGTAACATTAATTAGCTAAGTGAGCATAACTCAGTGGCATCTTATTTTTGGTTTATTACAGGAAGATGTTGAGACGGGCACACATCTGGATCCCTCACTCAAAGAGGTCAACTACAACCCTACCTATGAAACCATGTTTGCACCTGAGGTAAGCCCTCATACTTAATGTTGGTTGAGTGTTTCTTTAAAGTTATCCAACAATGTTTGAAAATGGTTTTTGGTTTTGGTGTCTGAAAGTTGTTAAGAAATTGTAATGTTCAAATCGTCTGATTACTAGAATGAAAGTGTTTTATTTTTAACTAATTTAACTTTCTATTGCAGTTTGGACCAGTTAATCCATTCAGAACTCAACAAATGGCTGCTCCGAGGAACATGCTGTCTGGATATGCTGAGCCTGCCCATGTTAATGACTTCATGTTTGAACAGCAAAGAAGGACGTTTTCTACTTTCGGTGAGGTCACACTTCACATATGTTTATTATTGATATGGAGCAGGCCAATATTTTAGAGTTTGACCATCGTGCTTGTAAAGTTCATCTTGAATGAACAAAGAAATCATTAAATTTCATTGCACTTTTCTAAACGCAGTATTTTACATAAGGGACTATTGCAGTAGGTGTGTCACTTCGCACCAGTTCAAACATTAGTTATGCTGAATATGGAATCGTCCTACTCACTTTAAATTTCTAGTGAAAAACATAAAATAATGAAATATGTGCCACAGGCTACGCATTGGACCCATCTGTGGACACCAGTCAAGTCTCATCAAACAGCTATATTGGAGCCGTGGAGGAGGCAGAGAAAAACAAAGGTAATAGTCATGACATGGTATGTCTCTGCCAGTTGGCTTTGATCAACTGGGAGTGTCAAATGTACCCACTTGCAAAGTTCTGTGCAGCAGTGAACATCTGCTCTTCTACTCTCTAGGACTGACTGTGTTCGAGGCCGGTCCAAAAAAGGCAGAGAAGAGGAAGAAAGTGAAAGGTGGAGACGCATCTGAGATTGACAGCTTCCTGGGACCCTGGGCCAAATATCAGGATGAAAAGGGTGTTGCCAAACCCTCAGAGGTCAGCTGTTGTCTAAGTAGCTTTGAGGATGACTGCAGACACATGCTTTGCAGTTTGTTGGATGTTTTTGCTCAAATGCTTTACCCCTTACAATACAAAAGATACATGCCAGGCTTGTTTGAAATGGTCTGTTTCACTCCTTAATACACATTGTAATTTCACTTTGTGAATAGTTTGATGCACTAAATGAATCAATATTCTATTCACAGGATGAGCAGAAAGAGTTGGATGATATTATTGCAAAGAGACAGAAGAAAGGAAGGAATGAGGAAGAGGCTCCTGCAGAGGAGAAGACCATACTACACGGTGAGCTGCGAGTTAGCTGATCTAACCCTGTGTATTCTTTTTTTCCTGGCATCGATATGAGCAGCTCTTTTGATATCTGGAAGTAGCAGAGAGCCATTCTATAGTACTATATTGATTTTCCTTGGGTTAAAATAACTGTCATTGTGTCGCTACAGTTAAAGACGCATACGACTACCAGGGCCGTTCATACCTGCACGTTCCCCAGGATGTCGGTATTAACCTGCGCTCAGCAGACATACCAGAGAAGTGCTACCTGCCCAAAAAGCAGCTTCATGTCTGGACGGGGCACACAAAGGTGAGGAGACTGTATGTGCAGATGTCGGTATGTGAGTCTGTTGGTTTGTCTGTGAGAGAGAGACTTTGGAAGAAATGGCTAATTTTTATATATTATCTGGGTCATAATATAGTGAGTGAGAGAGTGATGATTTTTTTGCTTGGTAGGCAAACATTAAGGGAGCTAATGGTCTGGCATATGGTTGGCTCTGTTTTGGATGTGAGTGTCTGTAGAGTTGCTTGATTTTGACAGATTATTAATTGCAGTTATTTTAAGTAGAGATGCTTGATTTTTAGGATCAGTACTGCCAATATTCAACTGATACTTATTGCTGGGACCATTATTGATGATTATAATTTTTTTTTGTATGAGAGTCTGAGCTCTGAAACCTCCAGATAAGCTCCAGTGCACTTTGTTATTAAACACTCATGTTTTGTAATAGTCAGTATAAAGTATAATATAAAATACTTATATAAACCGTCATGGTTCACTGAATTAGCCTGTATATTTTCTGTCTTCCTGCAATAAAAAGTAATGAATAGCTGAATAGTGATTTCAGTATTCAAATACTGGCAACTCAA